AGGTCTCTGCTACTGTTATTTTATAGGTCAAAAGCTGCCAACTTTGGGAACCAAAGTGCACTGGTTCCCAAACTTTTCAGCTTTTGACCTATAAAATAACAGTAGCAGAGACCTGTGCCCCCAGATATTTTTGGATGATAAACATTTGTATCAGGTCAACAAAACATGGGCATTGTAACGATATTTTTATACTACATTTATCCATTTCAAATACACTAACGTCAATCATTTGTAACAACTAAGGCAAAAATGTAATTAATTCAAAAAATCTTTTCAGGACCCCACCTTGATGTTTCAGGACCCCACTTTGGGTCCCGACCCCAACTTTGGGAAACACTGATCTAGATAATCTGAGGACTGAGGAGAAGTAATAGCGTGAAGAGGACATAAGAGGGAGGCACAAGACAACAGGAATAACACACAGACAAGACACAGATCCTTACAGTACCCCTGCTCTACGAATCGTCTCCAGACGACAAACACAAGCATGGGAGGGAGGCTGGGGGCACCAATAACCAAGACAGGAAGGCGGGCAAAAGAACAGGACAAAGGAAGCACAAGGGAAAAAACAAAATAACGAAATCAAAAAACTCAAACCAAAAACCGACAGGAAGTCCTGGGAGGAAAAACGAAAGAAAAAAAAGGTCCACAGATGGCCCTAGACGCATCTGGTGCATGGCCACAGTTCAGGCAGGCAACCTGGTGCCAGACCAAGGCGAAACAGAATCTCAGGAGGGCGGCCCGGTGCTCGGCCACAAAAGAGCTGGACCTCAGGAGGCCGACTCAGGAAACCCAGGAACACATGCCGGTTTGGGAGACACAGGAACAGACATCAGCTCAGGAGGCACAGGAACAGATGCCGGCTTGGGAGACACAGGATACTTGGACTCAGGAGACACAGGAGGAGATTCAGGATACTTAGAAAACACAGGTCGACCCAGGGACTTCACAATTCGACCCGGGGACTTCACAATCCAACCCAGGGACTCAAGATACTCGGAGGACTCAGGAGACTTGGAGAACACAGGTACCCCCAAGGACTTAACAATACAACCCGGGGTTTCAAGAACAGTCTGACCGGGGACTTCACAGTCTGACCCGGAAACTCAAGATACTCGGAGGACTCAGGAGACTTGGAGAACACAGGTATTCCTGAGGACTTCACAATACAACCTGGGGTTTCAAGAACAGTCTGACCCAGGGACTTCACAATGCAACCTGGGGTTTCAGGAAYRGTCTGACCCAGGGACTTCACAATGCAACCTGGGGTTTCAGGAACAGTCTGACCTGGGGACTTCACAATGCAAACCGGGGTTTCAGGAACAGTCTGACCCAGGGACTTCTCAATACACCTCGGGGTTTCAGGAAGTGATGATGATGATGATGATGATGTAGAGACTGGAACTGATGACTCGTGAGCAGAGACTGGAACAGGAACTGATGACTCGTGAGCAGAGACTGGAACAGGAACTGATGACTCGTGAGCAGAGACTGGAACAGGAAGTGATGACTTGTGAGCAGGGACTGGAACTGTAGAATCGAGGACTGAAGACTCTGTAGACTCGAGGACTGAAGACTCTATAGACTCAAGGACTGAAGACTCTGGTGCAGAGGAGACTGAAGACTCGGGTGCAAAGGAGACTGAAGACTTGGGTACAGAGGAGACTGAAACCAACGAGTCCGGATCTTCTGAAGACTGTGAAGACTGAAATAGTAGAGTGAACCAGATGAAGATGGCTGTGCAGGTGAAGTCAGTGATGCAGGACCAGGCTTAGATGATGAAGATGGAGATGTGGATGACTCAGGTGGATGCAAAGAGTACCCAGAATACTCAAGACATAAAGGATCATCCTCAGGATCATAGTCAGGATCGTAGTCTGGTTCGGACTCTGAGTAGTCATTCTCTGGGTACTCGAACTCTGTATACTCTGGGTACTCGAACTCTGCATACTCTGGGTACTCAAACTCTGCATACTCTGGGTACTCAGAAGGCTGGGTCAGTGAAGACTCGATCTCTGAAGGCTGGGTCTCTGAAGCAGGTTCAGATGAAGACAATGATGCTGATGATGGAGCAGATGATTATGATGATGCTGAAGCAGAATCAGATGAAGATGCTGCAAATGCCATAGGCTCAACGAAGGCTGCAGCTTTCTCCCCTCTCACAGCTGCTCTCCTCCAGCGGCGACGACAAGAGGTAGGCAGGAGCTCGGAGGCTGCCGTGGTCACAGTGTGACTGGTGGAGACTGCAATAAACCTGATGATCTCAGAGGCTGCAGCAAATGTAGTGTTCTCAGTTGCAGTAGACGTGGAAACCTCAGCTGCAGGCGGCAAGGTCTCAGCTGCAGGCGAGACTGGCATGGTGATCCCAGAGGCTGCTGCGGGCGTGGATATCTTTGGAGGGGCTGCAGCTGATGTGAAGATCTCGGAAGAAGTCAGCTAGGCGGGACAGGAACCCATCAACTCGACGTAACTGGAGCCCATCGGCTTGGTGGAGCTGAAACCCATCGGCTCTGCAGAACTGGACGATGGCACAGCTGGAACCGGCCCTGATGATGCTGTTTTCTTCCACCATGACCGGCAGCGATGAGAAGAGGCCGGAGGAGGGTCCTCCTTCTCTGGTAAAATGGGAGGCGTTGGAGACTCAGGAGGCTTCTGAATTGTCAGAGGAAGGAGAATGGCACGGAGAGCTCTGTGGTCCCGCAGAGCCTCCCCAAACAGCTCTGACAAGCCAGGATGGGTGACCAGCCAAGAGTAGTAGTAGTAGTTTAGAAAACAAATTAATAAAGGCGTCAGTCACCACTCACCTCACCCACAGGTCCACAGAGGGATTCCCCACATCGATAAAAGCGCGTGTGGACGTCTGGATCAAGAGCGCCTCCGAGGGGGAAAAATCCTCGATGAGGCAAATGTCTTCTGGGTCCTCTGTTGATTCGGTCATTCTATCACGGTTGGGGAGCGGAGTAGGACCCATAATGCAGACAAGCAGGTAGGCAACTCAAAGAAAAAATATATTTATTAAATGAAAAGGCTGACGTGACGGCAAAACAGAAAACTCAAAGCAGCAAGGAGATACACTGGAGGAAGCCAGGGCAGAAAACCAAACAATGACCGAATGCTAGAGTGAGGAAAACGGACTGACTAAATACAGGACTGGGATGAGTGAAAATGGAAACAGTTGAGCTAATGATAAGTGAAGGCAGGTGTGAATGGAATGATCTAAAGAAGCTGAGGACTGAGGAAAAGTAATAGAGTGAAGCGGACATAAGAGGGAGGCACAAGACAACAGGAATAACACACAGACAAGACACAGATCCTTATAGTTATGAAAAATACAGTATAAATGACAGAAAAACTGCATAGGACACCGATATTTTACACCAAAGTTGTTTCCTTTGGAACATTCAGGAGACACATAGATGTAGTGTCAGAGCCGGGCAAGTCGACTTGTGAAAAATCCTTGTAGTGCCGAGTATCACTAATGACATTAGTGAGTGACTGCCCTGCTCGCAGGATTAAACAACAGATTTATTACTGAGGGAATTTTGAAGATGAAGCAGAGCAGCGACTTTGAAGTTTGTTTAAAAATCAGTCAGTGGCCAAAAACTCATAAAAGGGGATAAAAATGACATTTTTCACGGTGGAATCTGACTAATCAAAACTTTGGAGCTTAATCCGGGACCAGTTTGTGGATAAACAACATCGAGTGAAGAGCCGCGGACCTTTTTTTCCCCACATTGCACTCCCCGGGGAAGGAATCCCATGCAGTGACGTATGCAGGAGCGGGAGGGGTTTCCCAGCAGCTAGGCTCGGGGTGTCTCGGGAACTATGAAAGGTATGTGCGAAAACGAACGCCTAACAACTACGTGACGGCGCGTCGACAGGTCGACAGCCGAGCGACCATACTGCCAGCTTTAATCTTTGTCAATATCTGATGATTGGTTCTTTTAAATGAAACCAGAGAGCGTTGACAGAGAGGAGAAGGTAGAAATGACTCAGCCTGGAACTGAAAATATGGATGGAGGACAACAGAGCTGCTTCATGGAAGAAGAACCTCAGCTTAGCCTGTTAGCTTTAGCGCTGGCGCTGACGCTACATTGCCTTATATGTATTAGCTCGGTGCTAACGCAACTAACAAGCTAAACTGAGGTCCTCCATCCATATTTTCGGTTACAGCTGAGTCATCTTTGCATTCCTCTCTGTCATGTGGATGGAGGACCTCAGTGACGAGAGGAGAATGTGTAGCACTGAGCTAATACATTTATCTGGTGAAAGCATCTGGACTAACGCTAAAGCTAACAGGCTAAGCTGAGGTTCTTCTTCCATGAAGCAGCTCTGTTGTCCTCCATCCATATTTTCAGTTCCAGGCTGAGTCATTTCTACCTTCTCCTCTCTGTCAACGCTCTCTGGTTTCATTTAAAAGAGTCGATCATCAGATATTGTCCAAGATTAACCTTCAGGGTGGATATAGCTCACTAGCAGCCTCGCACCGATGACCTATCCACGTCACCATTTACCCAGAATGCTTTGTGTGTAAATAAAATGGTCCTGACCGTATAATATATTTTTTAATTTTAGTTTAAAAATTATAAAAACTGAACATCCTACGGTATTTTTACAGTCTTTATTTTACAGTTAAAATATATGTTTATCATATAAAGTCTAACGTTACAACTAATCGGGGATCCCTTTAAGGGAGGGCTGGGGGCCTGAAGGCAGCCTAACATGTTGATATGTTTCAAAGTACACGACGTTTGTTTGCCTGACATCCTTATAACTCTTCTCACCAACTGACACTGAGCCAAACACCTGTACTGTGATGATTCAGTACATTTATTGTTACACACCTACTTAATACTTCAGTATGTAATAAAACTGAAAGGATGTAGGATTTACTGTTCAGAGACTTAAATGTCAGCAAGTTTAGTCACACCACATCCAACACAGAACTACAGTATAAAAATAATATTTTTTATGAATGTGATTACTCAAAAACAGGAGAGCATCTGTGGGGGGTTTGGTGAAGGGGGGAGGGAGTTAGGTAGCAGAGAAGGATTTATAATTCATGGCTAATAGGATTTGTAGCTATTTAGCAGGATTAGGCATGTTAGAGAAAGAATCTATTTATTGCTGCCTGTCAGGGGGTCTTTTCGCCTGGCTGGGGTGGGTTTTTTGGGGGTGGTTCTCTTGAGTCGGGTGGTTTGAAAATACCCTAAATGTTTTTACTTTTTTCATCCAAGCATTATCCAGGATAACCACTGGTACAAACACTCAGCACCCAAAACATTAGAATTTAACAGCTTCGTTTTTTGTTTTTATCCCACCATAGCTAAATGTTTGGAGGAAGTTGTCTGTTTCTTTTTCATAATGTTCTGATAATTCCAACACATGAGCCCAGCGGTTGGTCAAGCCAACACACATGGCCGTTCATTTGTGTTTTGTGTGTTTTTCTATGTCCAGACACAATTAGCAATACTTTGCTTTTGTGGGGGAAAGGGCAAGCAAGTGTTGGTGGTCCAGATTAACCTCTGGTACGAACTCAATGAGAAGAAACAGAAGAATCACTTCTTAGTTAAAGCTTCCTCCTTAAAAACCAGTGGCTCTAAATGATAAAACTGAGCTCTGTTTTAAAAGAACGTTGTGTTATGTGTGGTTGATGCTACAGTGGTGAATGATCTTTCTCCTGCACTCCTTTCCTCATCTGGCCTTGATGGTCAGAGGCAAATTGTAAAGACGAGGGCACATAAATAAAGTGACAAAATGTACAGTACATTACTGAATCAAATGCAAGATCAAATAGTTAAAAAGTCACATTTAAAATTGGCACTATTATGTTTGTATGATTCTCATTGCCTTTGATTCAGTTTGTTCAGAAAGGACAAATCTTTTTACATAAATATCAACAACAAAACTATTAACAAGCATTGGCACTTTTTGTTTCAGACAACAGAAATATCCTGAATCTCCATTTCTCTTTCCTCTTCCTCCATCGTCCAGTCCTTAATTTGAAGTTGAAAATGGAAAGTTGTTGAAATATTTCCAAACAAAATCAGACACACATTCAAGAAGTCATCAATTGTTGTATTTTTAGAGAAACAAAGATCTGCTTGTAAAAGGAGTCAGTTTTTGGTGTACCAGATATGTTTTCTGCTTGTTAACAAAGATCAACAACAATACAAAACATAATATATTTCAGAACATCCCACTGATTGTTGTAACACTAAAATATTTGTCCTAGCTCTTCTCGAGTGTCTTCATTTGAACTGAACTAGAAACAATTGCCCCTTTTCCAATAGTGCCACTTAGTGTAGTGTCGGTACGGTTCAGTACAGTTCCAAGCCATTTCCATTAGACCAGATTCATGGAACCAGCACTTTTTTAGTACCTACTTTGTTGTGGTTCCAAGTGGTCCCAGTCCACACCAAAATGCAACATCAGAACATTGTTCGTCACTGACAGGCGGGTGGAGTCACTGGTTGCGTCTGAACTACCTTTACAAGAACAACTCGAGGCACCAGTTTTTCAATTGTAGCAGCAACATTAGTCGTGTTTCTATTCAATTTTAATTCGAATTTTTAGCGAATTTTTAAAATTTCAGAACTTATTCGGCAAATGTGTTTCCATCTCTCATTTTGCGTATCAACTCTTTTTTGAAAAACCCAAAAATCACCTCCACCAACCTCCCAAAACACATCTACTGGAACCGGACTGGAACGTCAAAAGAAAAGCACCCGAACTGACCTGTTCCAACACTGACCGTACCGACACTACACTAAGTGGCACTAGTGGAAAAGGGGCATTTTTCTTGTTCCAGATATTTTAGAATTCTCAAAACTGTTTTAAGACTTAAAAAATATTTATTTATTTCCATCTGAAAAGGTACTTTAACCTAATATAACATTTAAAGTTTTGGCATAGTTACAGGAGCATGGTTGTGTTTCCCAAATGAAAACCTAGATCAGTTTTTGCGTGTGCTCAGGGACAAGGGAGCAACACTGTTACATTTAAAGAACTGACTAAAGGATCAGATCCAATTTCTTCTGACAATTTGAGCAGTCCGGGTCAGGAATTGCTCCTTGCTTGTGCTGTAAGGAGATCAGCTTACTGTACAGCCAGAGTTCACAGGCCACAGGCAGGGGGAAAGACAATCAGTGGGTGGTTCATGGTTGGTCAACCTGACCCTCCGAGAGTTCTTGTGTGAACGAAGTGTTGTGATGAGTTAGAAGCTCCTAAAACAATCTGAATGCTCTTTCTTTAATTTTTTTTTCTTTTTTACTCAAACTGAGTTATTCAAATGCTCTTGTATTGAGCAGCTGTGTCAACAACATTTGAATACTGTTTGAGGCTTGGGGTAGCGCTGTTAACTCAAATGCTACCCTGTTGTATAACTTGACTATATAAATCAAATTAAAGGGGAAATATCATGTAAAATCAACTTTTTTGAGTTTTATATCATGTTATAATGTTATACTCTCATAAAAACATGTCCAAAGCCTTGCTCTGACTCATTCATCATGTTTGAGAAATCCTGCAGTGTTTTTATGAAGCCATGCTGAGGAGCAAAACGACAGGCGAGGACCAGAAACACCTTTTGGTACCAGAAATGCCCCTGGGACGTGTCTTTAAGCCAACCTTCCTCATGGCAGAGCACCCCCTCACCCTCCCCACACGCCCATGACTCCTGCAGGCTCTCGGGTGAAACCGAAAGTGAAACCTAACTGTCTGCTGAGCTCAACATTACTTCTCACTCAGTGAAGCACTTTTCAGATTAAAAATATCTTTGAGGAAATGTATTTTCTGATGCCAAGTAAATTGCATCATAGAATCCCCCCCCCCCCCCCGCACCGAAATGGGCGGGACAGAAGCGATGGTGGTTCTTTAAAGAGACAGAGGCCAATTTCAAGGCGTTTAGAGGAGGAAGTGATGAGAAGATAAGTTTAT